AATTATTGTGTGAGTTATTGTCACAGACAGATAGTGCATCAAGATATACATGTGTGGAATGGAAATGGAAGACAAAATTATTTCCTTGATGGTCAGTGAGTTTAGTCAAAGTTGCAACTAGTTTGTTCAATAGTGCTTTGTAAATTTAAATTAAGATGTACTGTATGACATGTCTAAAATATGGCCACTTGGGCTAGGTAGGGTTACCTTAAATTTGGTCACATTTAAATGGGCCACATGTGTTAAAGGGTTCTTAGAGACAACCTATTTGAAGTGTTTGGGGACACTAAAAAGTGTTCATTTGGTACCCAATGAGAAATTGTAATGAGGTCAAAGATGTCTTTGCTGTATCTATTGTTCCAGTTGAGAGAAAAATATGTAGAAAACAATGTATATTATGTAATGTTTGTCATATTTAATGATTGCTTGTCTGGTTGCTGACCATCCAGGGCTGTTTATTTAAGTCTAGCCTTTGTTAGATCTGTTTTATGGCAATGTTGGGATTTGGCCAAGAGGAGGTTTCATTTCTGCTGTTGCAACCTTGGGTTACAAGATCTATAGATCTTGTTTATTTATTAGAATAGTCAAGAGTGGTGTTCAATTTGGTGTCGTAAAACCAAAACCAAAGTAATCACTCTAGCCAATCACTTGAGACACAGACAATACAGCAAACCAATTGAAATACAAAGAAATTACATGTTTCTGATGCAAAGCGTACAAAAACATGCACTTAAGCGTGCCACGATTAGTCTTGGTTTTACTTCCAATTGGATGAAAAAGTGGTGTGAGTTTTTTTAAGCTAATCATGTGGCGTAGTATGTGGCGTGGTCAATTACTATTCAACACCCAAATGAACTGCTCTAATTATATGTGTAATAAGTTTTTGCAGCAGTTTTTATTCTTTCTAGACCCTGGCTATCTTTAATTATGTCATGTAAACTTTTTTAGATTATTTAGTTTTAGTGTCTGAGGTCTCTGTTCTTGTTGACAACATGTTCTCGCCACCTAGAAGGAAGAAGGGAAAATTAATATTATTTTTTTGGGGGTTAGCAGCTTTTTAACTGATACTTAAATTGTTTGTTGACTCGTTTGTTCTTAATACTCCATGCTAGACATTGTTATATTGATAGATGGTACACGAGTCTATATACTTTTCTCAAACTCATTAATAATTCATCAAGTTTAAAGAAAGGAAATCATGACCGTGACGGTGTTTGGATATCTGATCTTAATTAGCGTAAATTTTTACGATTTTAATTCTCCGTTTTCTCCTTAGTTTTAGTTTCAATTGGGAAGATATATCAAACACTCAAGACAGTGTTTAACCACATTTCCAAACACCTCGAAGTTCATCAAAAATACTCCACTACACTTCATATTTTCAACTCTCTTCTTGGTGTTTGGAAATGTGGTCAAACACTGTCTTTAGTGTTTGATATATTATGTGAAATATGAAAGAAATATCTCTTGGCCAATAATCTAGTTACCGGAGTGCTTTTGTTGTTATATGTTTTCTAGAAAAGGAGAAATTAGTTATTAATTTCTCCTTATTTATTCCTTAGGATAATACATTTCGTTTCAATTGTTATATCATAATAGTTCTTGGTATTATTACTGGTATTTACAGTGATTAGCACTGTAATATATAGTAGTTTAGCTTGCTAGTAATTCCCAAGCTATTGAGCTTAAATGCTGGTAATTGATTACATAAGTTATGTACAAGTTTTTCCCTTCACTTTCAGTAGGAGAAAACCAGTATTCATAGGTTTGGTCTGTTCTTATATATCTTAATTTATTAAAGGTAGTGTTTTGTAAGATACTTGTAAAATGCTGATTTTGCCATCATTTTGTATTGTTACACTGCA